ATATTTTCCACACCAGACGCCCCTGGCGAAGCCGTGGGTCAGCGTGCCGCGGTGCCGCGGTGCCAGTGCTGTGCAAGAAAGGGAGCGCCTTGCCTGCGGCTACTCCTTTGGGCGGCGCCGTGTTCACAAAGCCCGGGAAAAATGCAGTACATTTCCCGCCCCACAGCTGCACGTGCCGACGGGTAGCGCCGCAGCGAGGGCGCACTACATGTACGGAACGGTAGGATGCTAACGCTACACGTGCAGGGAGACGAACAGTCACTATGGAAGCAGAGGAAAATATGCATCACGGCAACAGTACACATATATATGTATATATATATATATACGTACACACACACAGAAGCAGCTACGCACTGGTAGACATTCGCACACACGCGCAATGGCAACAATAAGTCCAGCGTCACAGCGGCTCCCCGTCTCGCGGTCGCGTCCGTATGGGCCGCAAGGAGAGAAAAAATAACAACAAAAATAACAGGAGCCCCTAATTTTTTTTCTTTTTTTTTCTTTCACCACTCTATTCTTGCTCTTTTTGCTCAAAATACACACATACACACGCACACACACACATACACACACATGCGCGCGCGCTGCAGCAGGAAAAAAAAAACGATATACAACTATATATATATATGTTATATATATATATAGTAGGTAATAAAAGCTACCTTTTTCTCGTCGCCTTCCTTTCGGTGTGTGGGGCACCCGTGCGTGTGTGCCAGGCAAGGGCACAGAGATATATGTGTATATATCTCTGCATTTATGCATACATGTCGAGGAGGGGTGGGCGGCGAAAACAATAGCCAGCACACCGCACACACAGGGAAGCAACAAAAGCAATGAAGTGGGAGGAAACGGAGGAGAACACCTCCGCTGAGATAAATTACAAAAAGAAAAACAAGGGGAAGAAAAAAGAAAGATGAAATTCAAGGAAAGAAAAGGGAAGGCAGAGATGGTGAGGCGCACAAACACCTTTGCATTGCTATTATGCGTTTCTTTTTGACTTCTGTTTGCCTTACCCCGCTTTCACCTCGGGTAGGCAACCATTGTGTGGCCCACCTACCTGCTCTCTCTCTCTCTCCCACTAGCTTCATCTCAACACACGCACACAGGCAGCCCCAATCACCCCTCCGGCCGAATTGCGTTCCGGGCCCTCTTCCCCGGCGTTCGGTCCCAGTCCACCCACGCCCCCCCCCCTCCCCCCTCCCCATCCGCCGCACTTTTGTTTTTGTTTTTGTTTCGTTTTTTTATCTTTACTCTTTCCGCGTTTCTTTTGCGCTCTGTGCATGTGCGTGTGTGTCTCGTATTGCTTGATTTTTGTTTTGATTTATTCTTAAGTGTTGTTGTCAGTATTACTTTTCACCGCTTCTGCGCCTTCCTCATCTCACGCTCCTTGTCGTCCCTCACCGCACTTTTGTTGGCTCTCCGCCGCGCCGCACGAAGGGCCGCACTGCCGCCCACGGCGGGCTTGGAGGGCGCCCGCAAAGAAGTTCATCCCGCCCGTTTAATTTCCGTCTTGTTTTCTTCTGTTTCTCCTTTTTTTTTTTACTCTCTAGTTCCGCAGCCACACGCACGCCAAATGTGTGTGGAGCCGCGGGGAGGCAACGGTGCCGGCAAGCACGAAGGCAATACAGCGTGACGGCTGCGCCGCCGCAGCGGGCGGGCACACAACAGTAGGGGGGAAGGCGGGGAAGGGAGAGGGAGGGAATGGGGGATCACAAAATAGCACTAAGAAAGGAAAAGAAAAGAAAAAAAAAGGAAGAGGGGGGCTTAGCGAGAGAGAGAGAAAAAAGAGGAGAAACAGAAAAGAAAAGAAAAAGAGAGGGAAGGAAAGGGAGAGGGAGAAGGAAAAAAAAAGGGAAGAGCGCGACAATGATGGCTGGCAAAGCGGTGGTCGAGGTACCGCCCCCCACCCACCCCCATACAAATCTTATAACCCATGCATGTAATATATACACATATCAATGTATACTTGTGTACAGAACGAGAGAGAGATATATATATATAAAGAAAAAGAAAAAAAAGAATGGAAGCAGTAAACAAAGAGGGGGGGAAAAAAGGTAAAAATAGAAAAAAAGGGGGGGGAAAGGGAAAAAAAGGCAGATACACACATACATACATACATACACAGCTCCTTTGTTACATGCATATATATATACATATATACATATATATGTGCGTGTACTGCACCTCCTCTTCTCCTTTTTATTACTCGTCTTGATCATGTTGTCTCAGTCACGCGTCCGCTCTCTCTCTCTCTCTCTCTTTGTGTGTGTGTGAGTGTGTGTGTGTGTATGCGTGTGTCCCTCTCAAAACCAGGCTTATCTTACTCCTATTGTCTCGTCAATGGAATCGTGTTTTTCTTTGGCGTTTTTTGTTTTGTTATTCTTCTTCTTTCCGGTTAATCGTGTAAGGAAATACCCCCGTTCTGAATGGCATGTTTTTGCTCTTCTTTTTGCGTATTTGATGGTTTTTTATTATTATTTCACTTCATTGAGCGCCGCCCACCTCTTCTATAAGAACTCGTCGCTTGGCGGCTCAGGAGGCTCGCCCTTCCCGCACGCACCCAAGGACACACTGAGAGGCAGACACCAACAGGGGTGGCGATGGATTTTCCCCTTGGATTTGCTTACTTTTATCGTTGAGTTCTTTTGTTTTTCGCACGTGTGCGTTTCATTTCTCAGCACCTGCTTGAACCCACTGAATTCCGCTCCTTACTCTTTTCTTCTTATATTATATTTCGTCTTTTCTTTCTTCCTTCTCGCTTTGTCTCACGCCTTCAGCCACCGCGGCCGTTCACTGCGGACGGCTGGCGGTGCTCCCCTCATCGCCGGTGCAGACGCCCCCCCCCCTCCCTCCGCTAACTATTGGCGCCCTTCACTGCTGCGTGCCTGCTGACATGGTGGTGGCCGTGGGGGTGGTGGCCGCCGCTGCCGCCCGCGCCCCGCACACCGCCGTTGCAATGGTTTTTCGCGCCGCTGCCGCCCATGTTATTCTTCGCGACATTGCCGCAGCTGGGGGCGCCCAGGATGTTGTTGGCAACATTGTTGTTGGTGTTGTTGCTGTTGCTGGATGCGTTGGTTTGGTTGGCCTTCGAACGCACGTCGTAGATGCGCAGCGCGCGGGCCACCGGCTGCGGCCCTGCGTGTGACTGTCCCCCCTGCAGCAGGGCACCAGCGGAAATGGGCGACTCCCCGCCACTCTGCCCACCTGCCGTGAGCCCAGGAAAAAGCATGCGGCAACCAACTGCCGCGTTGCTCGTGGCGTTGTTGGCGGTAACTTTGCTGTCCGCCGTCAATTTCCCTGCGGCAAACATCGGCGGTGACGCACTACCGCATGCAATCGACGAGGCCCCACTTCCGCCGTACATCAACGGACTCTTGTGCGGAGCCACGCTCTGGGAGTCACCCCAGGACTGCGGCAGAAACGCATGTCGCTGCTGCTCGCAGATGACGCGAAACTCCTCGTCTGTGACTTCGCCCACGGCGAGCTGAGTCGCGGCGTAGCACGTGTCGCCGACGGTGACGGTGCGCGTTGCAGGCGTCACGGTGGACAACACCGTCATAACGTGCGACGGGGGCTGCAGCCGCAGCTCGCACTCGCGGCAGATGTGTATGTTGTTGCAGTCCTCTAAGTAGCGGCAACGGTGGGAAAGATGAAGGCGACAAATAAGCTTGGCAGGGAGATCCAAGACCAACTCCCGATCATCATCGGTGTCGTCGGTGGCGGACTTTCCAAGGCTTTTATCGGCCTCCCCCGCGAGGTCCCCGGTATCTGCTGACCGGCTGTTGCTTCCCTCCTTTGCGGAGGTCTGGGAATGCTGCCGCCTCTTCGGCGGAGGCACACTGTGGGCCATGAAGCGCAGCAGCCCCACCGTCTGTGCCACGCGATCGGTAGAGATCAAGTCGCTTGCGTCATTATCATTGTCACCGTTCGTGTTAGCGTTATTGCTGCCGGTGTTGTTCACGACGCGAATATATTTAAAGCGGCTTGTCAGGACAGAAGTGTCGTGCGGATCGTCGTGTAGTCGACAGCAGGTCGGCGCATGGAGCGCCTCATGGCGCAGCTGCGGAATGGCGCAGGGAAGCACATGCGCCTGCCTGCACCACTGGTGGCGGCAACGCCCTTCCAAAAACGAGATGCAAAGGGAAGGCACAGTCCCTGTGGTCGCTGTGGCCTGGGTGGGCACAAGCTGCGAGAGTGGCACACGCAACTTGCGTGTAAGTGGGTCGAGCACCCAGATCCACTTCTCATACTCAGTAGTCGGCTCGCCACTATCCTTGCGTGCATGCGCATCCGCATCGCCGCTGCCGTTGTTGTTCATGGGGATATTGTTGTTAGCACAGTTGCTCTCCAATTGGCCGCCGTGAATGGACGCCTTGCCTGAGCTGCTCGTTGAGTTGGGCATAAAAAAGCTGCTGCCGCTATTGTTGTCGCTGGCGTGCAGGGCGGCGCCTTGGCCGTCGGCGGCGGCGTTCCATCCTGCTCGGGGCTCACTAGCACCGGAGAGCATGTAACTTAGCTCCGGCATAATCATGTCTCTGTTTCCTTGTTGTTGTTATTGTTGTTGTTGTGTTTTTGATGTTTATTAGTCAAGCCTCCTTTCGCCTCTATTAGTGTGTCGCTGCGGCTGCTGCTGCTGTCGGTGCGCGTGGAGGAGGAGGAGATAGAGAGAGAAAACTGTCGACGCCGCTTTACGTTTTTTTCTTGTTGTTGTTTTTTTGTTAGTGCGCTCTATTGCCGCCGTTTCCCTCCCTGTTGCCTTCTCGTGCCTCTGCCGCCGGCCGCCGTCCCCGGTTCGAATGACAACGCCGCGTACCCCACCCGCGAAGGCCTCGCCCGGTTGTCTCGTCTGCTTTATTTTATGCGGTCCTTTTTGTCCTCCTCCTTTTTTTTTCGTCTTCTTCTTTTGTGGTGGTGGTGGTGGTGGTGGTGGCCGCTGCTGTTGTGCGTTGACCCCTTCTTTTTTCTTTTTCTTTTTTCGTTTTTCTTCTTCGTCTCTTTGGATTCGCTTCGGCTGTCGCTAGAGCCCCTGCGGCCCACCCACACACGCACACGGACGCAGGGAGCGAAAAGGGGCGGGGAGGGAGAAGCCGAAGGGAGCAAAAAAAAAAAAGGGACGCCGCGTGTCAATTGGGCCCGCCACTCCCGCCACTCGCTGTTTGTTTTTGTTCGTTTGTTTTTTCGGCGCCGGCCCGCAAGCAAACAGGCATGCGCGGAGTCAACACGTACACACACAGAGAGAGAGAGAAAGAAAGAAAGGCAAAAACACAAGTCGGTGGGGACACCGTAAAAAAAAAAAAGACAAAAGACGCAACTTGCATGCAGCGAAGCCTCCGCGGGGTTGGCGCAGCGCCCCTCCCTCCCCCCGCCATTTACATGAGACCAGCGGCAGAGACGCAGCAGTGAACGCCGCTTGACCGCGTCGCTTGTTTGTGTGCTCGACTTCGATCGTTGCGTGTGCGTCTCTGTGCCTCCTCCCCTTGCCCGTTGCTTGTCGCTCCTTTTTCGTTTACTTTTTTTTTTCCTCTCTTCTTTTCCTCTGTCGCGTTCCCTCCGTCAAGGCGCCTTCTGCGCGTTTTACCCGCCCAGTCCCTCCGTCTTTTGCCCGCTTGCGGGCCTGCGTTTGGGGGGGGGGAGCAGGAGGTACAGGGGGAGGCCAACGTGCACGGACGCAGGCCGCCACCGCCGTTCTCCAGAAAACGCGCAGGGCCTACAACGTCACCGCCTGCTGCGCCCGCGCAGCCGAAATGTTGTGCAGCATCCGCTCCTTCACGATGAGGTGTGAGGCCTTGTCCAGCAGCGCCACGCTGCGCTCCACCGCCTCGTTCCAGCCGTTGATGACCTCCGTCGCGTTCTTTTTGGCCTCAAAGACCACCTGCCCGTCCACGCGGTCCATCTTGGCGTAGAGGGACTTGGAGGCCACCATCATCATGAGGAACTCCTCCGTGTGCTCCGGGGTAAGGCCGACCAGCTGGGCGAGGCGGTCGAGGCGCAGGCGGCGGTAAAAGCGGGAGACGACGAGCAGGTCGTGCTCGCTGCAGCGGCTTCGTAGCAACAACTGACGGTCCTCGTGCCCCGCAAGCTCCGGGTGATTATCGCAGAGCGTCTCCACCTCGCCGGCCACCCTCTCGCGGATCAGCTCAATGCTGGTAAACCGCTGCAGTAGGTACTGCAACTGCGGGACGTCCTCCAGTTGCTTCTGCAGCGACGTCGCGATGCCCTGAATGGCGGCGTTGCGTTCGGCAAACTTCGTGGCGGGCGAAAAGGCAGTGCACTCCGCGAGGTCCTCCAGCGCCTTGGGGGCGGCGTGCTCGGCGATGAGGTAGTTGACCGCCATGCTGCTGAGGGCCGCGAGCTTGGCGGCCTCCGCGGTCTCCGTGAGGTACGTCTCGTACCAGCAACGCGCCACGTTAAAGTAAGACTGCCGCTGCGCGTAGTACCGACGCATGAGTGCAAAATATGTCAATTTGGCATCCTGCGACTCTGGACGCGCCAACGCCCTGTGGTTAATACGGCGCGAGACGAGCGGTGTGTGCTCGTAGTCCTCCAACTCCAGACAGAGCCGGATAAGCCGATTCAGCGCCTCCAGCTTCTCTACACGTGGCATGTTGGTGATGGTTTCAACATGCAGACCACTCAGCAAGTCACACGCCGCACGCTTCTGCCCCTCGCTCTCCATAAGTCTTGCCAGGTCAATGGCAAAGCGGGCGTGCTCGAGCTCCACGTGAATCTTGCTGTCGGTCAGGTGCACGACCCGCTCCAGCACCTCCCTGCGGCGCTCCTTCGACAGGGAGCCGTCGGAGAGCATCACAGCGCACTCCGCAATCATTGCACTTTGCGTCAGCTTTGTTTGGCCACGCTTGCGCATAAGCGTCTCAAGCACGTCCAACATTTTGGCATAGTCGCCCTGCACGCGGTACACGCGGATCACCTCCACTGCGAGCCGCTGGGTGGAAGGCGCATCCCCGCCGAGGCGGGCAACCTTCTCAAGGCTCAGTAGCTCGTCGACGAGCTCGTGCAGGCCCTTGTTGGTGCTGCGCAGTAGCACAGGGATGGTGGTGGCGTTGACCCTCTCGAGGAGGGTCGTGACGGCCTCGCTGTGGTCCTCCACCTGCTTGAAGCTTGCCCCTCTCCACTCGTCTACGTCCGCCATTCCCTCTGCTTATTCTTGGGAGGGAGGCAAATGTGTGTATATGTGCGTATATATTACGAATTAGGCCTGTGTGTCGCTACGCGCTTGCCTCTGCGACGCCGTCAACGTGGCGTTTCCTCCTCGTTGCACCGGCCGCCTTCCCGCAGGGTGTTTGCGTCCGACTGTGCGCTGCCTTTGCCCACCCCCCTACTCCTCCTGCTCTTCTCTCGTGAGTTTTGCTTTTTCTTTCCTCTTTTCTTTTTTGTCTCCTGTTGCTGTTGCTGTTGTTCGCGTGCTTCTCGTTGTGTGTGAAGAGAGCCACTGGGCAGCATTCAACAGGGCAGGAGAAGAGAAAGAGAGAGAGAGAGCGAGCGAAAGAGGAAAGGCAGGGAAGCTTCGCCCATAGTAGACGAGGAAAGGCGTGGGTGTGGTGGCCCCACGCACGCCGTGGACAATCACACACACATACACGTCTATGCAGAAAAAGGCGTCTCGCGTTCCTTTCGCTTGTTTTTCTTTTAGTTTAATTGGCGTCCGTCGACGACGTTTTTGTCTTTTTTTTTCTTTATTTTCCTCGTGCGTGTGTGAATGGGGTGTTAACCGGAAGTAGCTTGAAAGGGTCCCTTTAAGATTGAAGAAGCAGCAGTTTGTGCCGCCTCACGCAGCCCCCCACTCCCCGCCGCCAGGGCAAAGCGGGAGAGAAGTGCTACGCTTCTTTCAATGTTGTTTTCCTTCCTCTTTTTTTTTTTTTGCCTCCTTCTTCTTTTTCTTCTCTCGCTGCGTTGCCTTTGCCTCCAGTTGCCCCCTGCGGGAAAGCAAGGACTGCCGCGTTTCCGCCCCGTCCTCGTGGGGCGCGTTTAGCGGGCGGCGGCGGGGTGCAGCAGGGCGGACTCGTACTCCGTGAAGGCGGCGCTGGCGTGCGCCCGCCGTCCCAGCGGCATCCAATCCGGCAGCAGCGCAGGCGCCACCGCACTCTGCGGGTGTTGCGCCGCCTCCCCGCCCTCCCCGCCGCCGCCGACTGCGGCCTGCTGCTGCAGCAGGGGGGCAACGGCCTGGAGGTGCTGCAGGGCCCTCGCCACCACCGCGCTGTGCTCGCCGTGCCTCCGCAGTAAATGCTGCGTCCACGTGTTCGGGGCGTATTTGGTGCGCAGCGCACGCTCCACCCGCAACTCGGCTGGCGCGTTGAGAAACTCAGCCTCCGCCGCATCCGCCTCCTCGTCTGCGGTGGGGTCACTGCCGCTATGCGCCGCCCTGTGGTTCGCTGTCACGCCGCCAAGCACACGGTTCGCCAGCCGGCTGCGCACGACGCTCTCAAGCAGCAGCCGGCCACGGGCGGTGTTGTTTACTACCAAGTGGCCCGCCTCCCGTGAGGCCCGCAGCAGCAACGCGTTGACCGCCACGTCCTCCGGCGCGAGCAGCGCGCCCACCTGGCGGGCGAGTGTGATGATCTGCAGCGCCACGTCCGTCACGGCGGTGGCCGCTGCCCCATAGAAGAGACTTGGCGCCTCGCCCGGCTGCGTGGAGGCGCGGAGGGCATCGGCGACGCGGCCGAAGAGCAGCCGAAGGCCTTCCTGGCTGAACAGCCGAAGCGCCCGTCGGAGGTGCCGCGGGTTCCAGGCGACGGCGAACGGTGCGAGGCCCCCCACGGTGTTATTGGCCTCGTCGAGCAAACACCGCAGGCCGCGCGTGGCGTTATGCCACTGCTTCACCAGCCGCGTATGCACAAACGGGGCGGTCTCAATCGCCAGCACATTCACTGCAACGTTGCTGCTTTTTTCCCCTGCCGCCTTTCGCCGCGAAAGGGGCGCCGCTAACGCGTAGTGCAGGCGGATGGGCTCCCACTGCCCCCCAGACGGGGTGTGACTCAGCAAGGCCAGCCCACGCTGGAAGGCGGCGGCGGCGGCCGTGGCAGTCGCGTGGTGGTGGTGGTGGTGGTGGTGGTCGCCGTCGTCGTCGTCGTCATTGTTGTTGTCCTCCTCCTCATCCTCATTGTCACCGTCGGTGCCCTCCGCGCCAAGCGCCCCCGCCGCCGCGACGGTGGGGAGGGCGGTGGAGCACGGCTCTGGAAGGGAACGCCATGTTGCGTTGCGGAGCACCTCCTCCGGGTACGGCCCCTCCTGCAGCGGCAGCTCCGCATACTCCAGACAACTCCACCACGAGGACTCGCCGCCGCCCGTGGCGCTGCTCGTGGCCGCGTCGTGGCGCCTGCCAGCGTCCGCCGCACGATGCGGGCGGCTCACAAGCACAACGTGTGTCTCTTTTTCTGCACAATACATCGTCGCCAGCGGCACCTGCTGCGCCGCCATCCGCAGTGGTGCAAAGGGAATACAACTGAAGGGGCTCTCAGACGGCGCTGCTGAGGATGCTGGAGCTGTGGCGGTGGAGGGCGACTGCGAGGGCACAAGACACGTCATCTGAAGCGCAAAGGTCGTTCTTTTGTTAAACGCGAGCGTCAGGACGAGGATGTGCGGACCGGCAAACTCGGCCCGCTCCACCGTCGCCCCCGCAGGCAGTGAAATCGGCTGCGGCCTGCTCACCTTCATTGCGGCATTCGTGCCCACAAGCTTCATGACATGGCAGGTGGAGCCGCCCGCGGCAAACACGGCCGCGTGGCAGTTTTCGGACTCCGTGTCCTTCCCTACTGCGCCGGATAGCACCAAACTGCGGCTGCCGTCGCCGCGCGCCGCCGCCAGGCCTCCGTCGACGGTCACCTCCTCCTCCGTGACCTCCAGCTGCGGGGCAGTCGCCACCGTGACACGAATGAGCCGACCGGCGCCCGTCAGAAGCAGGCAGGACGTCGCCGAGAGGGCGCAAAGGCTGTGGAAGTCTTCGCCCGCAAACTTCATCCCGACAGGGTGGGCGCTTGCGAGGAAGGAGCGCCACTGACGGTTCTCGCGCTTCGCCACGCGGGGAACGTCCGCCTTGGAGGCGACGTAGAGCTCCTTCTTGCCGCCGCCCTCGACGATGAAGACGACGGTGTGAGCACTCAGACAACACACTTGGCACACGCGTCGCCCGTCGCCCAGTGCGTCCGCGCGGACAGCCCACTGCAGCGCCCAGGTGTCGCAGCGGAAGACGCCCACGGAGAAGAACAACGTCTGCGCGGAGGCGTCGGCGGCGTGCGAGAAACCGAGTGCCACGTGCTCGCCGGCCGGATTGGCGTTTTCGTCCTCGCCCGCCGTGGGCTCCCCGTGCGGCCTCTTCGACGTTGGGAAGGCGCTCCACGAGGTCAGCGGCGGCGGCGGCGGCGGCGCGACGCCGGTGGGATGCACCGCCTGAATCGTCGCCGGCGGGCGCCTCCCATGCAGGTCCAGAAACGACCCCCCGCAGGCCACACGGCCGGTGGGTGAGAACTGCACGACGAACATCCAACGGCCCCCTTCTCCCGCTGCTGCTGCTGCTGCTCCCCGCCCACGCAATGATAACAACACAATAAAAAGAGAGCGGCAAACTGAGAGGCGTGTGCGAGTGCCCGTGTCCTCAAGGAGCGGCGGGGGTTGCAGGAAATAAAATTTAAAAAAGGTGTGTGTGCGTGTGGCTTCTTCCCTACTTCCTTCTTTACTTCTTTCCTCGCCTCCTTCCTTTGCGGCGCCGCACACAGAGGCGTGCGCGGCAGGTCAACAGGACGGCGGGAGAAGCGAGGGAGCCGGAGACGTGGGGGCTGCAGCGAGGGGGGAAAGCGCGAGGGCGAGAGAGGCGGTGCCAAGTTCATCGCCTTCCTGGCAGAGAATGAAATAAACGCATGCGACGGCACACCGAGGACGAGCGGGGAAGCGAAACCAGCGAAGAACACCGAAAAGGAAACACAGAAAATATATATGTATATATATCAGAATCATATTGTCGGTATTCGTGCTCCTCCCGTCATCGCTAAGTGCGACCAGTCACGCACCGTCACAAATGCGGGCGGAAGAAAGAGGGGGCAGGCGGCCCCGGCAGAACGGCAGGCACGGCACTGGAAGAAACAGACGGTGGAAAGTATACAAGAACGACGTCAAACCGCCACGAGTGAAAAAAAAGGGGGGGGGCACGCAACCCGACAGCAACTTACTGCGTTTGGCGCCTCGCGCCTCGCCCACGTCCGATTGCTGCGGCGTTGATTTTTCATCCTTCTTCCCGTCGGCCCGCACACACACACACACACAAACGCACCGAATGGTGTCTTCGACCGGCCCCCGCTTGCCCCCACCGCCGCCTCCCTGCTTCCTTCCTTCCATTCCAGCTCTGGTGCCGCTTTATATTTTTTCCTTCTCTCTCACTGTCCCGCCCCCTTTGGTATTTCCTTTCCTTCCTTGCATTGTACTAATGTTTTCTTTTCTTTTCTCCTCTCTACCCATTTTTCTTTCCCGCCCCCGCCCCCCGCAACAATGTGCCCGTGGAGCTCGCACTCGCCCTCTCCACGCATTCGGCCCCCCACTTTGCGGCTCCACAACACACGAGTGACTACACATTATATATGTATATATCGTGCCTGCCCCTATGCACCCGTAACACGCGTCCCCCGGCGCTCTACGAGAAGAGCATCAGGAAGGCAAGCATGAGGGCAAAGAGACCGATAGCCTCCGTCAGAGCGAAGCCGAGAATGGCGTAGTTGAACAGCATCTTCGTCAGGTTCGGCTGGCGCGCACAGGCGACGAGCAGGTTGCCAAAGATGGTGCCGATGCCGAGCCCGACACCCGCGAGCGCGATGGCGGCGAGGCCGGTGCCGACGTAGTGCAGCCCCTGCACAGAAATGGCTACCGTCGACGCCCTACGCACCACCAGCGCGGATGGAGACGCGGCAAAGGCACGACGAGCGACAGGCTGAAGAGCGAGGCGGCGCAGCATCTTTTCACGTTTCAGTTAGTAAATATATGTGGGGTTGTTGTGTAGGAAACCGTGGCCTCTTCGACCTTTCTAGTAGATTCGCAGCAGCTGGTGTAGGGAAGGAAGGAACACAGAACGCACGCGGCGGTGGCGCAGGGAAACGCAAGGTTGGCGCCGGTGAGGCGCCCAGCTGTTGGCAGAAAGAGAGGGAAGAAAGAAGTCAAGGAAAAAAAAAATTTCTTCGTCAGCCAAGGAGGGAGCACCGCGCACACCCACTCACTCACTCCCCTCTCCCTCTCACACACACAAGCGTGCGAGTCCAAGGGGCGTATTTGTGTGTATTTCTGTGTGTGTGTGTGTGCATGCGTCAGCCCTCAGCTTCGTTCGTGCACAACTAGTCCAAAGGCCGCTGTGCCATCCACTACTTGTGCGTCACCGCCCTACTGGGGGCCGGCATCCTCGCCCTCACCTACTGCGGGCGCGCCGCGGCTTGCTCTATTCACCACCTCCGCCGTCCAGACGGCGTCCGCGACCACATCGTGGCCGAACACGTAGCGCATGTCCACGTACGACTTGCCGAGGCCGACGCCGCCGCCAAACGCCGTCACCGCGATGCGCGGCCCGACGCTGCGAAACACAACGAGCGAAAACGCGGCGCCGCCGAGGAACCCTAAGCCACACACCCTGAGGGTGTTGTCAATGGCGTACCGCCACTTCTCCGCCTCCGTGAGGGACTCGCGCGGGAGCAGCACCTTCTCCCCCGCCAGCGTCGAGACGCGCGTCGTCATTGGCTGGGGGCCGAAAAGTTTCTTCAGTCCACGCCCTTCTGCCCCGCTCGCCCCCTGCACTACTGCCCCCTCGCTAACGGCTCCACTCAGCTAGCGGACAGTCTGCTTCTTTTTTATTGTTTTTTTTCTTTCTTTTTTCTTCGGTTACTATTATTTTGGTTTGTTTGTGTTTATTTTCCTTCCTCGCCGATAGAGTGCGTTTCCCTCTGCTTTCCCCCCTCGTTTGTTTCCTCTTCCTCCGCCTCGTTTCCTCCCCCCTCCCGCTGCGAAGCCTATCGCTTAGTGAAGGGCAAAGCTCCAGCGGAGAAGCGGCGCATAAATTTTCACAGAAAGCGGCAGCAACGGCGGCTTCCGAATAGGAAAAAAAAAAAACGGGTGCCGGGCGTCACATAACGCCCCGCAGGCCAAAACAGGAATGATAAAAGGAAAAAGAAAAAAAAGAGTGAAAATGCACACACCCACGCACGCATAGACGCAGAACTGTCAAGCGCGGCCAAGAGCGCTCTCGGCCGCCTCCGCCCGCTCTACTTCTTCTTCGTCTGGTGACGGAGGGCCTCCTCCATCTTGGCGCGCCGCTTCTTGGCGGCCTTGAAGTTGCCAAGGCGCTTCTTGCAGAACTTGAGGGCACGCTTGTCCTTGCCGACGCGCAGCAGCTCCTGCACGCGCTTCTCCATGGGCGAGAGGCCGACGAGGTCCGTGATGATCGCCTTCACCGCGCGCAGCTTCTTGTGCGGAAGGGCGTAGCGGTCGTTCGAGGACGGGGCGCGGGCGCGGCGGGTGGTCTTGTGGCCCTTGTTGAAGCCGGCGATGATGCCCGTCCGCGGCGCGGGGGCCTCTGCCTTGGGAGCCTCTTTCTTCACGGCGGGCATGCTCTTTCTCTTGCGCAGGGGCGTGTTCGGCGCCGCAGCACAGTGCAGACGGGCGGGTGTGTGTGCAGGACACAGGTAAAA